ATGAACAGGTAACCCAGATGTTCAATCAAGCCACCATTGCTACTTCGTTCCATGTAATAAACATAGATCGTGAAATTCAGATGGTATAGTTCATAATAATTAAATGAATTTTAATAATGTTTCAGTTGGCTTTTTGAATGAAGTGATAAACTAATTCTAAAATCAGTCAGATCATTATAACTTATTTTTTAATGAAAAAATAAATTCTCATAGTGATAACCTGTCAGGCAACAATAACTTCATGTTTGCATCATCAACCTTAATCATCATCAAATCTATTCATCATACATCTATCAAGTATTATCCTGTAACTGACGGATAGATACTTAATGTTTGGATTGGCGGCCTACTCAAATACCCTGAGCTACCTGTTCCTGCCATCTAGATATTTTAACAAGTTATATTTTTGTTTGTTTTAACACACATATCGCAAAACCTATTCAAGCGTGTTTATGAAAAGTTTACGATATTTTGCCGTAAAAGTTACAGAAAAATATAATCATAGACATTGTGGTGGTTGGAAATATGCATTGAAAAGGACGAACATTACTCAAATGTCGGTTCCTGAACTGTTAACATCTAAATGATGATCACTTGATATTTGTCGTCAGGATCGACGAAGAAGTAAGAAACGGGGACTTGTTGAAATAATTTATGCTGAGAATTCTATATTGTACCAAAAATATGTAATATTGAATAAAGCCATTAATAATACTAATAATTTTGAACTGACAACCTCATGTATCACTCGATGTGTTTGAGCAATAAATTGAGTTTTTCATGACGTTTTAAAAAAAAGATTCTAGATCGGTTTAAAAAATAAATATTTATAGTCAGTCATCATTGAAATCTTTTCAATATATTTAATAATAGAGAGAAACCAATGAATCTAGTCATAATTAATCAATCTGTTGAATAAAATTTAAAGTAAACTCTTCATAAGTTTACTTGTTAAAACGTTTAGTGACAAATGTAAACCAGTATGGTGGTAGATATACGTGGTGATATGTTTTAGCTACTATTTACATGCATTATTCAGATTCTATGGTTTTTAAATGTTTAAGAAAAAATTTGCCATGACTACTAGCACATATATTTGTATCATGTAAATTACATAACAGCATAAATTAATTAAGTAAAATTTACTTCAAAACACTATCTTAAAGGTATTATTAGTGTTATATCGTGTGACTGCCGATTAAAGAGCAGTGACTTATCGATCGGATCAAAGACGCGTAAAACACGTGCGAGCAGTCTAAAGTCTTGATTGACCCTGCTTTCAGCCTAGCCCAGTCAGTTAAGTCCAGAACACCAGTCTCAGCCTCTGCAATATAAAATCCTTATATTTCAAACATACTGAGTTTATATACCAATCAAACAGACCACAACGTACCGATAAAATATGAAATAACATTTGTACAAGAATTAGCCAGATGTGGCTGTGAATGAGGGAGGTAGTAATTAATATACTGGGTATAACTCAAGAATGGTAAAACGTATAATAATAGTTTATGGGTCAAAATACAGCTTATAATAAGAGGGATATGAATATGCATAGTTTAGTTACTTAATAATTATACAATAGAAATATACGTTTAGTATTGGTCCATCAATAGATCCCAAAACTTACCATTCATTATTCTTGTCGGGACATAACAATTAGATTACTGCAGATTATTCCCTTCAATATCAAATTTTTGACACCGTTGAATCTATGATGTGAGTAGATATATTTCTACGTTAATAATCAGATATTGTTATACAACATTCAAATTTCAGTAATATTGTTTACTGGTTATGCTTAAATATATAAATATTACATTTTTGTTAGTTTCTAGTGTGATATCGTTTGACCAGTTGACGTAATTTTTTCAAACCAAGTTTGATTTCCTTCCGAATTGTTTGAATTACCATTTATATTATTCCAAACCTCTACATCAATTAAAATGGTTTAAATTGCGTTATACACTTTGCCGTGTTCTTGAGGTTCTGTGCCAAAATATCTTATGAAATAACTGAATTTTGGTCTTAGTCGTGTTACGCAATTCAAGTCAATGAACTAGAATTCTCGTAATATTAAGATCATATATGTTGTTCATCCCAGTTAAATCATTTACTACCCACCTGTGTTATTTCTTTTGATAATTTCGCTCACATACTTGTACATTTTTTGTTCAACTGATTATGTGCAGTAGTAAAATATGATGAGTATGATCAATATGCTACTTAAATATAGTTTTAGTTTTTCCTTTCTTATTAAAATAATGCTTTAAGTTCTGTTCGACATTTTGATGATATAGTTTCGTATTTAAATGAAATCTATGAATTACCTTTGTGTCACTAGGCACTACTAATTATTTGTGTTTATGATTTGTAATAGAACCATCTCTAGAAGCTTTAAATAATTCAACATGAATGAGTAAAACAATATTTCTTGTTTTAAACGTCAACCGTTTAAAGATCATTTAATAGTTTTTACGTATTTTGTCATAAAATTGGATACAATTAAGTAATTTTTTCAAGTTTAGAGTATTTTTACAAGAGAGATTACTGTTAATTTTGTCTCACTTAAGACTATCGGTTAAATCTAAGTTGTGCGGTTAACATCGTTTTTGAATAAGTATTTAAATAAATCTGAATATCAGAGATTGAACAGATCAATCGTCTTTGATAATTTTGTAACAATGACTAAGAAATACTTTTAAAAAGTATGATAGGGTCTAAATGACAAAACTTTATTTTGTACCACGTGTTTTGATATACTGTCAGGTGATAACTAAATTAATTGTGTACTCAGTGCTGAAAAGACACTGATCAACTGTAGTCTTAAACATCAATGGGAAGATTCAAGTAAACAATTTAAACTTTATCCCATTACACAAGCAAGTGGCCATCAGAACTCAGCAGCTAAGTGAATAACGCGATGGTATATGAAGCGAACGATACTGGGTTTGAGTCTTAGAGTTAGCATGAACTCTGAGATACAGGTACATCCAGTTGATAAGTCCCGAATAAGACAAAACGCGCGTTTTGGATTCCACTGCTAGCCACTATAGATCTTTGCTTATAAGACTGAAATGTGTCAAAATACCCTATTTATTGTTTAATTTCTAAATACTTCCTCTGTTCACAATGCGGTCTGTATTTATCAGTTTGTATTGTTTTCTTAAAACTATTATAAGATATATACACCAAATTCTCAACAAATAACTTTAGTGTCAATGGTACATAACTGTGGTCTGTTTAACCGATGTTGGGTCCAACATCACTGAAACTACTATTACTATCTTCTTAGTTCCATTGCACTATGCTGATATAATGGAGAAAGGCTGAAGCACATTTTGGCATCCTACGTTACTTACTGACTGTTGAACATTTTCCAAGTATTTCCAAAAACTTTGATTTGAATTCAGATGAAATGGACGTCCATTGTAGCAACTAAATAACTAATTTTTGGAAAAGAATCACTAATTTATTGTTAATTGATTAAAGAAGTTCGGAATTATTTGGCAGACAGATTCAGTGACATAAATTTATTTGTTACTTACTTTGACGAACAGAATTTTGTCTACTTGGAAAAAATATCTCATTGTCCGAAATATTCTTTCTTTTAAAAGTCGAAATCCTGTTTATTGCAAGCATTATGTTCCTGACCAAGTGTGTCCTTTACTTATGTTCGTCTGTCTAATCGAAAAAGAAAAAAAGTTATATACTTTCCGAGGAACTGAAACTAGATTTTTGAAATCCGTTTAAAGTTATTGCAAATATAATGACTAAATGTGGTGACTCTACTTCAGTAGTATGTTGAAAAGTTACAGAGGAGGTGATTGTGTAAATAAGTATATCTGTGATCTTTAGCGCTACTACCGGTACTACGATTAGTACGGCATTGAGAACACTTGTTATCGGAATATCAATTTATATTTTTTATTATTAGTGGTAATATCATATTGTTATAAATGACTTACTATCCTCTTAATTAGTTTAGTATTTTGAGTACATGTATATGAATGTTAGTGTATGTCAGGCAAAAGACTATGTAAGATGACCTTGCTGAATGCACAATTCTTTGTTCTTATGTCTTGTTCTAATTAAAATGACTGAAAATTTTATTAGTCATATAGTTTTTATGCATAAAAAGTAGGTTTTACCTTATTCAAATCGAAAAGTTTCTGGCTTAGAACCTATATCGAATTTTCTCCTCTAGATGGTGAACCGGTTTCAATGTTTACACTTGACGCTCCCTCATCCCTACGTTTAACCAAAATGGTCTTCCGGGTCTGTATAATTGTCTAAATCTTATGTAGAGTTTACCACTTTACTTGTCCTGATATAAGAAAATATTGGCAGCTAGAGTGATATATACTACTGAAGTATTGTATCCGATCTAGAAAAATTAATGACTCAACACCATGTAATTTCATCTCATCAATAACAATTTCTTGCGTTTATATGCACGTCTGTGATATGGTCTAATTGAAAGCATAAGATTAACTAAATGATGATTGTACAGACAAAATACATACGTTAATTTTATTCCTACTTAAGAAATATAACATTTACGTTCATTAGTTTTTTGGAGAGCGTCGATTAAGTGTTTTCTATTTTATTGACCGATAGAAAGTGTCCTATATGAAGTCACTTTTTCTACTTTTTATCTTCCATCACCAACTGTTTGTCATTATTTACCTTATTGTCTAGTTATTTGAGAGAATGGTCTGTAGCAAATCAAACAGATGGAATTTAATAGTTGAATTTATGAGTCTATATAAGCTAGAAAAACATAGAAAACCTGAAAGCATTGGACGGCCGTTTTGTCTTAGTGTGGGAATCCTGAGCAGTGCGCATCCACGATCTCGCACGCGAACGCTTAACCTTAAAACCACTAAGTTGAACTTAGTTGGACTTGAATTCTGTTTAAAACATTGTTGCTAACAAAAGTAATAATGACCGAGAAGAAAAAGCATATTTATTTAATCTTTATTGTTTTTAAAATTTAGAAATACTCTTATCAATAACTGCAAAGTTACTAAGGAAGATATATACAAAAATGATCCATCACTACAACAAATGCTTGATTGTTTGAGTAAACGAAAAGAAGAAAGACAAAGATATGCAAAGAGTGATCAGTCACAAAAATTCAGGAAATATGTAAATAAAGGTGTTAAAAATAAGGAGAATGAAGTGAGTAATTTTATGATTGGTATATTTTTATTCTAATATTTAAAGAAGACTATTTGTTATAGTATCTACAATTAAACTACGAAACACGTTTAATACTGTTGATTATTTCATTTCCGAGTAGTATGAAATGATTAAATTTAATGGATATAGTATATATAGGGATATACTATGTTATTCAACATATTAGTATGAGTTATCAGATATAACTAGAAATATTTTCAGTTATCTGACTAAAAATCGATAATTTTATTAACTTTTTTGACTTTAAGTAATATATTTTGTTTACGAAAAATTTATCGATAGCATATTTCTATATGACCATCATTCAAATAGGTACAATAATGTACATTCTACCTGAAAATAATGTCTATGATCGAAAGTCTTGATGGAATATATATAAATATACAACACAACATCCAACATTCGAATCACACTTCACGGAGAAGCTTTGGAGGATGTATAAACCTTTACATATCTGGGCAGCATCATTGATGAACACAGTGGATCTGATGCAGATGTGAATGCTTGGATCGGCAAAGCAAGAGCAGCATATCTATAATTGAAGAACATCTGGAACTCAAAACAACTGTCAACCAACACCAAGGTCAGGATTTTCAATACAAATGTCAAGACAGTTCTACTGTATGGGGCAGAAAACTGGAGAACTACGAAAGCCATAACCCAGAAGATACAAATGTTTTATAACAGCTGTCTACGGAAAATACTTCAGATCCGTTGACCGGACACTATCAACAACAACCTACTATGAGAGAGAACAAACCAGATTCCAGCGGAGGAAGAAACCAGGGAAAAGCGGTGGAAGTGGATAGGACACACGTTGAGGAAAGCACCCAACTGCGTCACAAAGCGAGCCGTCACTTGGAATCTTCAAGGTCAGAGGAAAGGAGGAAGACCAAAGAACACATTACGCCAAGAAATGGAGACAGACATGAGAAAAATGAACAAAAATTGGGTGGAACTAGAAAGGAAGGCCCAGGACACAGTGGGTTGGAGAATACTGGTCGGCGGCCTATGCTCGATTGGGGTTAACATGCATAAGTAATTAAGTAATATATGTTACCGAAATCAATTAATTGAAATATACGACATGTCATACGATATGAAAGTATTTAATGAACAAATCGAAATATCAACAAAGTTTGGTTCTATGAAATGGGTACAATGAACAGTAACAGATAGCCATTGAAATTAGAAAAGCTTGGAGATCTTGAATTTAATCTGAGGTAAATTTATGAATATAGGCTGCTTGAGAGTCCTATGATGTAATGAAACTATTATTTAATGTTTCATGGTTTTTTAGTCGTTGTCAAGATCGGTCTATGATGTTAATTATGAAATTGAAAAGTTTTCTCAAAATATCTAAAATACGTGAAACAAATATTGATTCGATCAATAATTTCTTCCTATTGTTATTTAGTTGACCGAATACATGTGAGTTAAACTCTGTTCCCACCACAAAACTCTATTTATGGTAGTTAATCTGTGTAATGATTCTCACTGTATTATCTAACATCTTAACGAATTTAATGCAATGTATCCAATTAATTTTTCTCTGATAAGATATAAAATAATACAGGCCAACTGAGAAAATGAAACAAGGGATTGAACAAAACCAGTAGATACAGGCTATATTTTTATATAAATACAAGATGTTATTTGTGATTAAATCCACTGTTTTTAGGAAAGTGATTAACATCTATTTGTTTTATAAACTACACAATGTACTGTATTACAGAGTATTGTTGTAATCTTTCAGTATCAGTGAAACGCACTAATTTAAAGTTACAAATGACAATACAGAGGTGCTGTGGAAGTGGAAAAATATATTCTACTTCTCAAATCCAGTAATGGCTGGAAAGCTTACAATGTAATAATCAGGTAATCGTAACTAGATCTAAATGATGCCCATGCTGAACAACTAGTTTACCTGACTGATGTTGTGCATTACGGTAATTATGATAATATTAAGCAATTATTTTATTTGATAGTGATGATTTATATATATTTTTTGTTATATTTCATTTCAAGTCCCTGAAAACATTCTGGGATGAACTTGAACGTCAAAGAGAACAAAGATCACGTATGGAAACAGGGGCTACGCATCATCCTTCAGAGCACTTAATCACGAGTCTCACAGCTTAGAGCAAAGGAAAGGAAGAATTCTCAAACTGTTTCCTGAAATATGTTTGATGAAAGAGAACGGTGTTATGCAAGAATCTTCAATTATAAGTCCTTGATATATTAAAAACATTTGATTTAAGACATACAGTCAACTTGCCTAATCAATTTTGATTAAACAGACAAAGTGGAAATAACAACAGTATTTATGTTAACTAATTTTATAGTGGGTATCAAATAAAAGAAGCATGTAAAATGTAGTTTTCTAACCCTTTTATGAAGTAAATTTTTATTGTATAGTGTGGGTCTTTGCAAACTGTACTAGTTGAAAATTTCTGTAGTTAAAGAAGGTTTTAAAATATCCTCTTAAAAAACTTGCAATTATCATAAAGCTGTTAGTTGTCTTGATAAATCGAAGCAATATTATTAGAATGCGAATATCATAAAATCATGTATGATATTGTGGTGTAAGCTACTTATGTTGATAGATATAAGTAGTATGTAACACTAATCAGTATTAGAATGCGTAGTTGCAGAAGATTAAAGAAAATTGCATTGAAGAGAACAGGAATGTAAACAGTGAGTAGTTGTAACAACAACAGAATTAAAAGAATACTGGAGCATGAAAAGGACAATTTAAGGAAGATATGCAAATAATGTATTTAATGTATAGTCTCTATATTTTGCGAAGGCATTGTATCATTTTGCATGAAACAATAAATTTGTTATCTCCAACAAGTTTCCATTTACTACAATATTAGTTTAATCAAATTTTGCACAATCCAATTAGATATTAATTTATCAATAGCTTTATAATCCTGTTGGTTTCTCTAATAGAAGAACGTATACAATATACATTTTTAACAACACTTAAACTAGTGTTATTTACAAAATTGTATCGGTTATATCAATTTTGTATTAAATTAATACAACCGATGGTTAGAGACCTTGAATGACATGGCTCAAAATCGTTCGCAATGATTCAGTTGCATCCACTCTTTTTGTTCTCCCAATTCTTCATGTCCCTTTATTTTTTCTCTTTCCAAATATATATCACTAGATTATACTGTTTGAATAACATCTTCAAACCCTAATCTTTCCGATTACTGATTATACTCTTACTGCCTCTACCACTATGGGATTTGAATTGACAACTGCATCTCTGTGCTAATGTGGTATAGCAATTCGAACCGATGTACGTACATACGAAGTTGTACGTTGTTACTGACTGACTGACTCATTATGATTGTTACTTTCATAAGGAATTTCAGTTTTGACCAGTTAAATAAATACAACTTCAATTTACTCAATTCTCTGAGATTCTATGAGAACATACACGTAGAGTGTGTGAAATATTTTAGTAAGGTTTACTGATAAACTTCAATGCATCTTATAAATTATATTGTATATCAATGTAAAATAGTGATTTATGGTCCAATATATATGTATATTTATTTCATGTTTAAAAGCACACTTCAATGTAAAGCTTACATTTGTAGAAGGCTAATTTTTTTTCTATGAATTTACTTTCATCTTCGTTTACATCTTGTTGTTTCACGTTGTGTTACTCATACTAGTGTTTTACGTTACATTTATGATTCGTACAATGTAAAATTTGTAACTAACATGTCAGAACATGCCTTATTATTTAGTTTGTTTGTATTTTATTTATTCTTACTTATAATAAATTTAAAATCTTTTTTGATTGATAGTTGAACTTTCTATTTAACTGATATTTTGATTTAGTAGTTATCATTGAAATATGAGACTCCTATTTCTCACGCTTTCTACTATCACACTATACTAGTGAATATATCTTGCTTTGATTTACAATTTAGTCATTACCATTTATTTGTCGATAAATTCATTCTGTAGTTAGTATTAAGTAATTTTACTAAACCCTATGTAGTACGTCTTACTATCGGATATTATAGAAAAATTAAAGGTAGTTTGTTAACTGTTGATAAAAAGTTTAATAAATAACGAGAAATGTTGTTGAGATCAAATGTTCACAATTCTGTACACTGTTATCAATAATGTTATAGTCAGTGATCGTGAAATTCGTCATCAGCAGCATGCTATACCACAATGAATTCAATGATGATAAAACACATTGCTGTGCGCATACTCATTAGTTTTACTTAGATGTTCCTAATGAATAATGTCTGTACAGATTTTACATCAACGCATTTTCAAAAAGGGAAGTGATGACATATGGAAAGTTTCAAAAATATGTTAAGCAAATCTACATTTATATCATACTATAGGGTTTGAAACGAAATGGATTTTTGAAATAGATTATTTCTACAATAAGTACGTAAAAGTAAAGATGAATAGTGGCTAACCATGGAATCCAGGACGCGCGTTTCGTCCTACTCGAGACTCGTCAGCTGAGTTTACCTGCATCGTATATTTGATGTTCACTCCGGAATGCACATATGCCAACATGAGACTGATCAATTGCAGTCCTAAATTACAATGGGAAGATACAAGTGAAACAACACCAAGTGAATTTGAACTTCATGCCATTGCACAAGTAGGTGGCTATTAGGACTCAGTAGCTATGTGGATAACGCGATGGCGTTTGAGACAAACGATACTGGGTTCGAGTCACAGAGTGGACATGAACTATGAGATGCAGGTACATCCAGCTGACCAGTCTCAAGTAGGACGAAACGCGCATCCTGGATTCCACTGCTAACCACTATACATCTTTGCTTATGAATTGACAAAACGTTTTAAAAACTGTGGTTCATATGGTGTACTCAATATATTCATATTAATTACACGAATTCATGTATTTCTCATACAAAAATATCGTAATTTTGTGATATTACTTAGACCTAATGTCTTTGATAAGGTGTGTTACTTTCTGCCCTTAGTTCTTAACTTTTTACGTTTTTTCATTTTTTTCCCAATGCAATTGTGTGGGCGTTTCATAGTTTACTGAACACAATGAAAGCATACTATAATTTCCAATCTAAGTACATTACCTAGTGACATTATGATAACTCATGTTTTTTTGTTTTCTTTATTTTAACCGGAAAAAAAATGCCGTTCAGTATTGTTACATAATTCCATTTTGTATTCATATAGATTATTCTCAAATGAAATAAACATTATTGTGAAGTCATTTTATGGTAGCCATTCAAAATTCCTTTAGAGTCAAAGTTAGAATAACCGTGATAAATTGTTACTCTTTAATTAAATAAATATTCATCATTGTGAATATCACAAATACAAATGTCTAGTGATTCTTATCATTTTCTACTGTATTCCATATTCACTTTATTTTCAAATCTTAATTTTTAACAAACAAATCATATTGATCAGTATTGGTGAATACATCTACTTACATCCCTTGATATCAATTATGTCTAATTCATAATGAATTGAGTACGGAAGATCTTTGTTCTTTACATATATATATGCCTAATCAATTAGGTTTTCTTACTACAAACATTGACATTTGTTGAATAGTTGAGATTTCGTTAAAAAAAATATAGTGTCCTATTGTAAATTCGTTCCATCTGAATGATTATGCGAATTATCTATTTCTGTTGATGAGCTATTATGAGTTTTAAAATCTATTGTGAAGCTGCTTACTGGAAAATTCAAATTGAACCATTAAAAGTTATTAATATAATATTCTTTCGGTCTTTCTTTCAACAAAACAGTAAGCTCAAAATACATGCATCATTTATTTTATATCATATAGATGAAACCAACCGAAAATATTTCTGAATGAAGATAAATAACAGATAGCCATAGCTAGAAAAAAAAATCATAGATATCTGAATATTCATTTATTGAATGAATCGTTGAAATGTCACATATTTTATGCTTTAAATTTCCTATTTTAATAAACCACATAAGAACTAATAGACTAATTGATTTTTATAACTTTCTTCAAATCCTAAATGAAAACTAACAAACAGAGTACTCATTGAATTTCTACTGAAACAGTGATTATTATATAAATAACTTAGTTGACATATTGTGGTAAGTTCAAATGACACTGTTCATTGATAGGTTGACACTTTGCTTTTATCACAACACTTTTTATTTTGAACTCAAAAAGCACAAATTATTAGCAGATAAAAGTTTATTTTGTTTTTTCAAATTGTTCCGTTTTTTAATAACTAGTCCTTTATGAGTACTTCAATAAATTTGTTGAGTTCAAGCGATTGAATTTAATAACGTTTTAGTCGTTTGTTTTCAATGGAACTATATCAGTCACACAAAACAGATCTCAGCGGAGGAAGGAGCGGTGGAAGTGGATAGGACACACATTGGGGAAAACACCCAACTGCGTCACAAGACAAGCCCTCACATGGAATCTTCAAGTCCAGAGGAAAGACGGAAGACCAAAGAACACATTACGCCGGGAAATGAAAATAGACATGAGAAAAATGAACAAGAATTGGATTGAACTAGAAAGGAAGGCCCAGGACAGAGTGGGTTGAAGAATGCTGGTCGGCGGCCTATGCTCCATTAGGAGTAAAAGGCGTAAGTAAGTAAGCAAGTATATCAATCACAAAAACATCCGTTAACAAAATAAATGTTAATCAAAGAAGAATAATAGTGGATTTAACTATGTTACATAACTTCTATACGTTTAAACCTGTTTATTTCACATCTAAAATACATATGCTACATGCATGACACTTACTACAGCTACATAGCTCCAAAATAATGTAAATCATTTTAATATAAATTTTACAATTTCCTATTACTCATAAGCGTCATCAGTCAGGTAAGTGTACAATAGTTTTATACATAACCATTAGTATTTTTAAAAATGTATCCAATAGAATAAAATTAAAACAAAGATTGACAAATGGAATAAAGCTTTTATTGTTTATTCTTTTTTTCATTAATCCATGTTTACGTTAGATCTAATAAATGAAATACTTTTGAACATTGAAATATATTGATTTAACAAGTAGATAAACTGGATGTGGTCTGATTCTGAAAATTGAAATCAATCATATTATTGAGTTTTCTGAAGCTACTGTCTGCCAATTTGAAAAAAAACTTCTAAAAATAAAAAATAAGGTGGAAATATGAAACCTAGTAAATTTAGAAATTGTTTCCTGACAACAGCTCAAGATTATGATAACAAATCAACACTAGCTTAGTTACTATTATGTAAAGTATTCTAACAACATGAAGAAAGTCAAGGAGTTAGTCGTAAAAGCGAGGATTATAAACATGAGCATAGTGATCACTTTTATGCAGATAAAATTCATATTTTTAAGTCACTT